AAAGAATTAAGTTCATCGAAGCACTCTTGTCTTGACAATCCACGTCGAAAGTTATGAAAAATAATGGCACGAAAATGTTCACGATTCAATTCCATTTTTTGAAAGAGAAGAACTTTTCAATTTACTGTCAACAACACAAATGAAGCTATAATGGTAAATCGTCTGCTGAATTTATGTTTAGAAATATCAAACTTTCGATTAAAATCGTCTGCGGTCGCCTAGCAACACTTACTGTTGCCAAGGCCAGAAATATAAATAGCAACCCTCGTATATATTACTCTTAAAACTCATGTATTTCTTATTTACTATATCAGCTGTTAATGACTGTTTTCGAGCCATCTGATTGTTAATCTGATGGTGAATTAAATTACATGGAACATATTTACTTGTAATTTTCCTCTCTGAAGATGAAGTATTATTTTTATGACTGTAGATCAATAATGAAAATTTCAGTTATATGCCGTGCATTAATTTAGGTCTTCTATCAGGTATATATATATATATATATATATATATATATATAATCGGATATGTGTAGAGATTCGTATGTTTTCCGATTATTCTAATGGATGTTCCCCAGACCGTTGGCAATAGTCTATTGTGCAGCTCTAGTGCGACGTAACTATACTATTACAGGAAGAATAAAGAAAAAATATATTGAAAAAATCAATGAAATATCTCACTTATTTTAAGAGATTTCTATCATTGCAAACAAAAGAATCGGAACGGGATGCCAATTTTGAATTTTCTCTTCTGTTCACGATCTCGCCTAGTTCACTGTCTCTCCTTCTGATGAAAACTCTTCTGTTAAGCTTCTGCTCCAACCGCCAACTCGTAATGGTTGAATAACATATTTCTTTCTTGCTATGTGCAATCGTGATTATAGTGAGAGTTAAGAAAGGTCAAGTTATGGATGGTAAAATTTATTGATTACATTATTGATTACAATTATGATAAAGGACTACAATACGTTGTTAAATGATTCATATTTTAAACAATCATAGCGTTATCGGTATTATTTAAGTATAAACTAATGGACAATCGTTTCGAATTTCCAATTTAACAGTCACATCTTTTGCATGTAATACGAAGTAAGCATCTTTGGAAAGCTCCAATGGAATCTGAAAATGCGAAATAATGCATAAAAACATTACACGTTCTTTAAAAGACATTTTCATATATCCATACACTAATAACTCCTAACTTCAAGGATTTTACTGTTAACTTTACAAAGTTTAGCAGCGATAAGCTGCATGTTAGAACAAGAATAAAATATTAGAATCAAGCATAAAATATATAGGTTAATTTGCCTTGATGAACAAATGAATATGTTGTTATATTTTTTATTATATTTTTACACTTGCTTATTAATTAATTTCACTTGAAAGTAATTATTTAATTATATTTTTAGTTGATTATTGAAATAATTTAAACTCTTGAAGTATTTATAGATCAGGCGCTTACAAGCAAATCGAAAATCAGAGTATTTAAGCACTGAAAACATTTAAACCCATTAAACTGCACCTAAATTGTTTTAAAATACCGATATGCAAGCGAATAAAAGCAGCTGATGAAAATAATAGTACCTCAAAATTATGTAATGCCGTCAAAACTATTTTAATTGCCTCAGTATTAAAGCGCTCAGAGGCATTATTATTTGAGTTATTAGATTTAAACGAATTTATAGCAATCAATCAAACTTTTAGGTAGACGTTGATAATTTTCAAACTAAGCTTATTTCTATAATTTATGAATTAATTTCATTAATAACTTTTCGTCTCAAGTTAAATTTTGCACTGTCCATAACGCCTAGGCCCTAGACTATAACAGGCACTTTTAGTTATTTATGACGCACCATCTTCAATCCAATAATTTAGAAGGATAGCTGTTGATGCTGTGGCATTTAGTCGACGGTGATCATACCAAGATTAATTTGGCGTTAAAATTTGTATACCTTGCAACGATTTTTTTCCACCTTCAATAATTTAAATAATAAAATACAATAAATAAGTATAAAAAAAATATTATTTTGCAAGAGATTGCCTTGGATAAACAAGTTTTATAATTACATGCAAGAACACTTTTAGCCCACTTCATTAGTCCAGAGATGTTATGAAATAGGTTGAGTTGTGATTTTGGATAAAATTTATTTAGTTGTTTTCTTCTTATATTAAATATGTTCTCTAGTTCCAGTTGCTAGCATAGGGTCCAACCTGTAGCAACATGGCCCACAAATTTTGCTATTAGCCACTTGTTATAACGAAACCCATCAGTTCTTAAAGAAGGTTTATGGTGTTATTGGCTGCAAATGAGTCACAGCATTTTCCCCTGTTTTACTTTATGTAAAATTCATACATCTCAATTGTAAATAAAACAAAAATATAACAATCATGAAAATTACAGTTTAAGCTTACTTTGGTTTGGGAGCATGACTTAAAAATAAAGCAGCTGATAATGTACACCAGGCACACTTTGGCACTCAACTGTGCAAATCTCAACCCGACGCAGTTTCTAGGTCCATGCCCAAAAGGAAGATATACGTGAGGATCCCGTTTTGCTACCTCTTCGTCTGAAAATCTGAAATAAAATTATGAAAGATAAAATAAAAGCTTAATAAGCACAATTACAATTGAAGGGTTTGATCCAATAAAAGGGATTGTCCAGATTCACAAATTGTTGGTTCAGACCGAAGGAAATTTGAAAAGTTAATGAATTTAGAAAATATCCCCCAAAACTATTTTATATGAAGATGTCTTATTTCACAATAGTTCCAGGTACTATTCGGAGAAGCGATATTGCTGCATATGAAGCAATGTATTAATAATATATTTAACTTTTCATAGCCCCACATTCAATCAATAAGATATTGCAGTGAACCAAACAAAGTTTTTAATAATTTTTAACTTACAGATCGTATAGTCACGTACTAGGACTCAATCTTAATGGTTTGAAGGCCTAATCTTAAATATGCAAATTAATTTGTGCTTACGATATTTTAAGTTACGAAATCAAATGCAAAAACGCCTTTTCTCTGAATAAACCTAACTTTCTCGAGAGATTTGGATCCTTGAACTGATCTGTAAACGAAGAAAGTACGTTTTTCTGCCTGATTTCGAATTTCAAAATTAAGTAACATATTTGTGCTAATTAAGTAACATATTTGTAACCCCCTTGAATCATTTAGATTGAGTGAGTTCTGGTATGTGAAGATCCGATCATAAGATCAAAAGTAATTCAGTGTGGTCCGTTTTTAATTTTGCGCACTATATCTCAGACTAACTCCAGAGCTTGTCACTTCTGCCTTCCGTTATAGTAATCTGCTATATTTTCATATTTTTTTTCCATTTCTCAAATATCAATACACAAATAATACAGAGATCAATTGAATTGACCAAAAGGAACAACGTGAAACATTAAAAAAAATGTTCACTCAATTTAGCTTAAAATGTTATTCAGAAATTTCAAGCAAACCATGAATCGGCCCATACTAGCAAATGATAAGTCAGCATATGATAAGCCAAGCAGATTTTTTTCATGACATATTTGTAAATTAGATTCTTTAAACTGTAATAAATAAAGATTTTAAAAATAAGTAATTTACATTGTTACCTCTCTGGATCAAATTTCTCAGGGTCAGGATAGTACTTTGGATCCCTATGAATAGCCAAAATGGGAAGCAAAATGACCACATCCTTTTGAATAATAATGCCTGTTTCTCCGTGAATATAAGTCTTTTCAGCTCTTCGGCTAGTTCTATACAACAAAAATAGAACAATTGAACTATTTATATTGATGTAATAATTAAGGTGTATACATATAGGGTGTAAACCAGAGTTGGCCGTTGATTACAGTAATCGATTACAACTGTAATTGATTACAGATAATTACAGCTATGTAATCAATTACTTGTAATCACGATTACAAGTAATCAATTACTTGTAATCGTGATTACAACTTTCAAAAAATTTTGATTACAGCTGTAATCATGATTACAATTTTGATTACAGTAATCAATTACTTGTAATCACGATTACAAGTAATCAATTACTTGTAATCGTGATTACAACTTTCAAAAAATTTTGATTACAGCTGTAATCATGATTACAATTTTGATTACAGTAATCAATTACTTGTAATCACGATTACAAGTAATCAATTACTTGTAATCGTGATTACAACTTTCAAAAAATTTTGATTACAGCTGTAATCATGATTACAATTTTGATTACAGTAATCAATTACTTGTAATCATGATTACAAGTAATTGCGATTACAAGTAATCACAACAAAAACGATTACAAGTAATTATGATTACAAGTAATCAAAATATATGATTACATGTAATCATGATTACATGTAATTTGATTACATGTAATTGTGATTACTTGTAATCAAACTATACGATTACAAGTTATTACGATTGTATACTATAGTCAAATTTTTTATGTAAGTATTCATGTGTTTACATATTTTTATGTACATAGAATGTACGCACGCATGAACGTACAATTTGCGATTCCTATACATACAATGTATGCACAAACGTTGTTTGTACGTACAATATTCATAATTATATTGTAATATACTTAATGCAATGCGCATATGCTTAGTACATATAATTATGCATTTATGATACATGTACGCATGTATGTTAGTTTGTACAAAAAGGCAATGTTTTGTATCTTTGTATACATAGACAATGTATGTATGAACGTATATGAAAATAATGTTTATGCGTTTGCATGCTTTTATGTACTTAAGTGCATATATTGTATAAATTTACGATAATAGCACGTATATACAATGTACGTTTGTATATAAAATTGTACGTATTTGCGTACAATATGTAAAAATGTTATTTAAAGGTACAATATATGCACATAGTTGCGTAAATAAAATGCGTACATGTATACATGCATATTTATATGTACATCGATATATGTGCACGCAAAGTATGTACTTATGTACAACTTACGTATGTACTTGTATAACTACATACTTTGTTAATACTTATGCGCATGTAATGCATGGATGTACAAAAAAATAGTTATATGCACAATGTATGCATGTGCATACAACGTATACATGTACATAATTACAAGTAATGTACAAATACGTGCGTACATTTAAATATATGTAATTACAATATACACATACATTGTGCATACATTAAAAAAATTTATATGAGTAAAGTTATTAAAATTTGTTTTAAAATTATTCTAAGGTATATGAAACTCGACCTCATATTTTTTAGAAAGCAAACGATAATTTTATTTGGAATTTCTAAATATTAATTCCACACATAAAATTTACCGTTTTTCTTACCATTTAAAAAATTTCTATGAATCATGCATTATGTTATAAAAAAAATAAATCTGTATTGTCAAACATTTCATGAAAATACCTGAAAATAATTTTTTATTCAGAGAATTTCAAAATGATATAGAACAATTAAAGCTGAAAACTAAATTTAAATATCGTTTGATTTTGTCATTTAACTTGCTTGAGTCATTAAAAGTTAACTTACATGCATTTTATTTATTGCATTGTACACATATTTAGACATAAATGTAATGTACATATGTATACGTGTAATGTATGTACGCATGTACAATGTATGTACATACATTCATGTATTGTACGTGCATATATAGTACATATGGATATGCATACATGGAACATACGTGTATTGTACATGTGTGGATACATTCATTGTACATATATACATTGCACCATATGCATAGATAGGGATAGCATGCATGTACACATGTAAAATTTGTACGAAAGAATTATGCCCAATATATTTATGCACATACGTACTGTATATGTACACACATATGTACATTATATGAACATTATATGTTCATTTCATCATATGTACATTATATGAATATACATCTGTACGCTATATGTATATACATCTGTACGCTATATGTATATACATCTGTACAATATATGCATCTCAAATGTGTGTATGTACGTACGTTATGCATGTCGAATGCATGTATGAATATATGTGAAATATAAATACGCCCAATGTACGTACAATAGTTCACAAATGTATTATGCATATTTGGATACTTACATTGAGCATGAACATATTATGTACATGTACATAAATACACTGGACATGCATATCATGTACATGTATACATACATATATTGTACATCCTACAGATATACCTATATTGTACATGCATACATATATTGTACTGTTCATAAATAAATTGCACATACATGCATGGGACATACATTGTACAGACAATGTATGTATGTTCGTACAAACACAAGTACTTGTATATACATGCGTACATGAACATAGATATACATTTTACATACACAAATATTTGCATAAAATGCATATATTCATTGTGTATAAATGTACATGCCTACATTGTTTGCACATACATACGTAATTATTATCTATATACATACGTACATATATTTTATACCTACAATATAAGTGTATGTACATGTGTGTGATACTAAAATGTCTGAACATATGCACTAGATAAAATCATATGTACATACATTTCAGTTACATTCATTTGTACGTATACAAATACGTACAAAATGCAGTACATGTTAATACGTGCAAAATGTATCATTATAAAATACATTCTACTATCTACTGTAAAATATAATCATTTATAAGAATACAATAGTCTTGTAATCGTGTAATTAGATTACATGTAATCATAATTACATGTAATCAAATTACATGTAATCAAATTACATGTAATCATATATTTTGATTACTTGTAATCATAATTACTTGTAATCGTTTTTGTTGTGATTACTTGTAATCGCAATTACTTGTAATCATGATTACAAGTAATTGATTACTGTAATCAAAATTGTAATCATGATTACAGCTGTAATCAAAATTTTTTGAAAATTGTAATCATGATTACAAGTAATTGATTACTGTAATCGACTATGTAATCATGATTACAGCTGTAATCAAACTTTGTAATCACGATTACAAGTAATTGATTACTGTAATCAATATTGTAATCATGATTACAGCTGTAATCAAAATATTTGAAAATTGTAATCATGATTACAAGTAATTGATTACTGTAATCAAAAAATGTAATCGATTACATTTTTGGCCAACTCTGGTGTAAACAAGATAAGGGTGTAAAACATATGTTTGAAATTATAGAATATCTTGACTTCCAAATTATTGGAAGTACCAAAACAAGTAGATCCTTATGTGTTCAGAAACTATTTTTATGCAATGGTAGAATTATTATTATAATGTTAAGGCAAAGAGAAATTTTTTCGGGGAACTGATATTCAGTACTCACCTCATAACCGGAGGATATAATCTCAAAGCCTCCGACATGATATTATCCAAATATTTCATTTTTTGCAAAGCTTCATATGTTAATTCCCCCTAAAAAATGAAATTTTTAAATTTGTGATAAATAGAAATAAGTAACAAAGAAAGGCTCTCACGAATCGAAATTACGAATAAAAAAAATGGGAAATTACAACTATAATATGAATTTATTATAAATTTTGGGTTCATTGTATGTCTCCCCAAAACAACAGTTGTCAAGATAAGGGTAATTGCTTTCAGGGGCCTTAGTGGGTATCCCATTGTCCACCCCCTAGAAAGAACTTGGCTTAATATTCTCTTGGCATGATATAGCTATTTTCTCTTGACGCTTACCTGATAAAGATATTGCTATATAGCATGGTATAAAGAAGGGTTTTCCCTCTCAGAAAGAGTGAGATTGAATTCTTAGCTTTCAGAGGAAAAATTTTCTAAGAATGAACGAAGTGAAAGAGCTTTACTTTGACTAACCACCATTTCATGAATAGTTTAGCTTGCTTAGTGAATTGAGATGGATTTATGCAGTCTTTCTGCAATTACAAATAAACTATAAAATTATGTAAAATTTCAATTATTGGAACATTTTTTCCAAACATTGAAAATATTTTGACCTAAGCTGTTAATAACAATCACATTAAAGAAGTATTTGAATTCCCTAAGAATTTTTTTAATTGTAAGCTCAACTCTAATTTTTCATTGAGCACAATTATTACATTAATTAAATTTAACGAAATCGATCGTAATGTTATTACTATTGAGATTAATAATTTTTAACTATATAATTTATCAATTGTATCAATGAGGTTTGAAAATGAAACATACATAAGAATTTAACATAATTAGGTAATTTCACCGTAAAAACATAATTGAAAATTGTAATTTTGTCTCAGGATTTCATGTGATTAAGATTTAAACTATTTCTATGTACTGTTAGATAAGCTATGATACAGACTTCCGAAATGGAGAACTGAATTAAATTCATATGTCATGTTCAGTACAGAACTGAAAAATCATTCAATAGTCTTTACTCTTTAGTGTATTAACAAAATATTTTCGCAGCAATTTTATTTATGATTATTGAGCACAACATTGTTAAATGTGGTTTTATAATTAACTCACTTTTTCTCTAACCAAACCTTTTTTTTTTTACTTTTTCATAAAACTTGATCCTGAAGCTTTCCCTTTTAAAACTTAGTTTTCTTTTTAACAACAAAATTTTTGGAAAATTTATTAGCTTCCAGAAAAATCCACTTTAACTAGAAAATAAGTTAAACATAGCTGCTTGGTTTTTGTCATACGAAATGAAGGAATGTAAATCAATTTGCTCAATCGAAACAATTTTTAAATTTTTATGAAATTATATACAAGGTAAATTTTAAGTACAAAAAATCTTTTCTTACTCATAGAGTATTCTTTAAACAACGCCCGTAAACTACATTTTTAAAATTCTTTCAAAAGTAAACTTGAACTATTAGTCATGCTAGATGTCACAAAATAACATTACAGAAGAAAATTATAATAAAAACTGAACCAATAATTTATGAGGTAGGAGACATACAAAACACTGAAAAAAATATTTGAATAGAAGAATTAAAAGAAAGTAATTTAAATCAGATTAGAAATATTTCTCAATAAATACTCGGAAATACTTTGGTCATGGAATTTCTCATACAAGTTTTAAAGCTTTCAAAGGTGTAAGAGACCAGCAATAAATTGCGAACAAAAATAAGTATTTTTGAATACCTCGTGCCTTGAACACCCTAAAGCAATTAGATTGTTACTTGCATTGACTACTTTGGTTGTTATTTGCAAACCTTTATAGAGATATGAAAATATTTATGAAGTAGAAATTTTTTTCTTCAAATTTTGGGCTATAACTTCGCAAATAATCAACAAAATTTTCGGAACTATATTCAATTAATATTAAAATTGCTATTTTAAAAATTATATAGGAAAATTGTTAAAAATTGCTCAAGTTATGGGCCTTTAAGGTAGTTCCTTTATTCAAAGCATGCGCGGAATAATTGCAATATTTTTTTTTATGTATTTAACATTTTTATATATTTATTATACATTCAACAGATGATTAAGGGTTTAATGCGTAAAAAGTATTGAAAATAAGTCTTTAAAAAGTAATGAAAATAAGTCTCGACTCCAAACTTATCATCATGTTCATTAGAGAAAATATATGTCACGTGATTGCAATTTTATCATAGAATCCAACTCAGAAGTAAAGGGAACCCTTAATTTAGGCGCTGGAACAAACTTTTTTTTGTCAAAGGCCTTTAAGAACTGCGTTTGCGTTTCATGGAGAAGAAAACTGCGAAACTGTTCCATGTTAGTTTAATAGCAATGAGACGCTCATCTTTTTTCGAAGTTTATTGTCTAACTACTTGAATTTCCTAACCATTGAACACCATTTAACAAATCTTTAGTATTTTTTGAGGATGAAATAATTTTTATTCATTATTCTATTAATTATTCTGTTAATATTATTCTATTAATAATTTTTAATGTGTACTATAAAATAAAACATACAATTGCAAAGTTCATTTTTTAAAAAATTTGTCATCAGTATTAAATTTAATGCTAATTAATTGAATACCTAAGTGGCCCTATTGGAACACTAAATTTTCTTTGCAAATGTAAACCCTACGAATAACCGAAGTATCTCTAAAGTTATAAAATAATCTTCTAAGTATTTCTAGAGATATTCATAAAAATGTCAAAATCTGAAAGTGTCTCTCCCATTATTGTAGAGTAGTGTGTACTATTATCAAGGCTCGAAAAAGTTCAGAAATTTTACCCGTCACCGAGGACGGCTTGTCCAACAATTTACCCGTCCTCCTTTGTAACCCGTCGCTTCTAAATAAATAAAAATATAATTTTCTCTTATTTATTACTAACATTTATATAAATTGCTCAATGAATTAGTAGTTACTAGGATTACAAATACTAGGATTATATTATACTGTAATAAAAGAAATACTAGGTTACTAATAGTAAAACCTAGAATTTCTTTTATGAAATAATCTCTTTCTTTCATAAAATAATTTAAATAACAAAGGTAAAATTATCTGGAATGTCAATTTATCCGAGGGTACTGCGTTTTTTAAATGAATCTAATATGACGTTTGCCAGTTCCACAATCAAGCCAATGATTTACAGAGGTTTCTGCACAGAAATCTGATTGGGGTTTTCCATTTAGGTGGATGTTCATAATTGCGTTTAACGCTTATTGTTTAAAACCAGTACGTAATGTGTTTTTTTTGTAAGTTCATTGCTGAAAAGCCTCTTTCAACCGCTGCAGTACTCCCAGACAGAAAAAACATCAATTCCACCAAGCGCAGTATGTATTTCTAGATAAGAGGGTCATTTTAGAAGTGAGGCGCTAGACTCTTGTAAGATAACTAAAATTGAAAATGTATCAAGAACATTAACGGGAAAATGGCCGTCCGCGCGGACGTTGGATTCGAGAAATTTGTTGTCCGCGGGAAATTTTTGACCGCCGAGGACGGGCGGACGGGCAGTTTTTCGAGCCCTGACTATTATTACACAATTGTTGTATTCTCTGTCACATAATTACTCGCACAAACATGCGAAGTAGAGCGTCTATCAAAAGTTCTCACTAAAGCATTCTTAGCTCTTAAAATATATTAAAATCTCATTAAATTTATTAAAGTATTATTAAATTAAAGTGTCACATTAAATTAATTTCGGTCGACTATAATCAGATGTTTACTGACAAAGTGTCCATCTTAATGGTTTAAAAGACCTACAAAATTAATAGTTATTGAGTTTTTCTTAAAAAAAATATTAAGTTTTATTTATTTAGATATTCGACTGATTTCGTTCAAATTTTATAATATGCTATTTAAAATTGCAAAGTTGAAATTAATGTAAAAATGTGTATACCTTATAAATTCGACAGCTGTTCAGACTTAGCTATTGGGGCCATATTTTCCAAACTGCGGCTATCCCTCATATTTTGTTAGTCATAAAGCCAAATTCATCCAAAAAAATGTGCGTTTCTTCAGAGAAAGAACCTTTCTGCGGTTGTAACACAATTAATCGTTAGCATATTTGATGTTTATCGCCCTTATTATGATCATTATGATTGGTCTTTAAATCGTGAAAATCCGATCATTAAAATAAGAGTTCTTTAGAGGGACATCATTTATATTATGCCTTATACATGTAAGAAAATTATCTTAAAAGTTCAGGTGAAAATTCACTTAAAGGAGAAACATATTATATGAGAAATAATATATGTATTTGTTGGAATTTCAACTAGGAAATTCTATTGCACAAATTATTCGTAAGCGTTCGTAAGTTTTAAGAATAGTCTTGAATCTATGCAAACGTTGTAATTGTTTTCTACTTTCGAATTTTTATCTGATTTAACTGTAAAATCAATAATCTGGAGAGTATGTGAGCAACTACTGTTAATTCCATTGCACACAGGATTAATATTTTTTCCCTTTAAGAGAATAATTTGTAAATTTGGCTTAAAAGTACCATCTTTATGCAACAATTAACCAGCGTGGCGACTTTTATGAAACAAAAAAATCTTAGGGTGCTCTGTTGCTTACACAAACTTTAATTATCCGCTTTGCCTGTTTGAAGTCGAAACACACAAAAAAATGCATAAGCATGTTGCTATTTACAAAATCATTTTAAAATTAACTAAGCAAATGTAGGCCCTAATTTTTCACTACTAAGCAGTCACTTTGGATTATGCTATTTATCATAATTAATTATCAATAATTTTATGAAATAATTATGTTTATTAAATTTTTTTATTTGAATGCGAGTTTGGCCTATCGAGGAGTATTCTAACAGCACGGGAAATCATCTAATAATAAAAATAATTAGATGGTAAGCAACTTTTTATTTTTTCTGCGCAATGTACTTGGTAGCATCCATCTAGGCTTATATGCTTCGGTTTCTTAATCTTTGTTTCAAAGCAGATAATCTTTCGTTTACTTTTCTATGTAGACCTTACCACCTTGGTAATTTTTCACTTACACTTTACCACGGCAATAAATGAACCAAGAGCAACGAAAGCATTCATTTATAAATATTTGATATATTGAGACTTAAGTGCTGCGAATATATTTTTCGAAAAATATTTCATTTTTAATATTTTTTTTTTATTTCAATTTTGTATAAAATTTTTTAAATCAAATCTTTTAATGTTTATGAGTTTTTTAAATATTACATAGGAAGAAAATTTTAATCCTAAAGGAATGGTAGCATCTTTACTTGAATTACATATATAACAATTAGTGCGAAATATTGATTTTTTTTACAATTATTTTAAGGTTTCAAAAGAAAGAAAAAAAGTGAATTTTAAGAGAATTGAACGAGCAAAATATTTTAAAGCTTGGATCTTAAATTGAAGACGATACTAATTTTTAGAAAATTATTTTAATAGTATATTCGTTTTCTGAAAATTCATTATATATATGTTTTTTTAAAAATCTTTGAATAATTTTTTTCTAGTTAAATTTCATACGAGAATAAGGGAGGAATAAGACAGCTTTTCTCCCTAAAACTCCCTTGCACCTCCGAAAAATCCGTAAATTTCACTTTCGGAAGAATTAAACAACTATGTTGCTCAAAAACGAGGTCAATCAGTTTTCCATTTGTGACCCTTTATCGTCTTTAGCGTCATAAAGATTTGGCGAGTAATGACCTTCCTGAGTTTCATCAATAGATTTCCACCGCCTACTCCATCAATCATTCAGGTAGGGTAAAAACTTTTTGGCGAAACCAACAAGACAGCAAATTTTGAATTTTTCTCTTCACCCCCCCTCATACTTGGTTCAATTTGCTTTGAGGCATGATGCATATTCCTCCATTCAGTTTCAATAGGTAAATTGGTGGACAGTTTCTAAAGACCAAGCATATTTTGAAGATAGTTCAAGAAATTATGAGTAATATCAAGTGAATTATATCAAGTGAATTAGAAATAATGAGTAATATCAAGTGATTTATATGGATGTAACATCGCATTCTTATTAAAAAAAATTGATTGCAAAAAAGTAACGGCACGAAACGCAGATCATGAGTTAAAGGCCATCACATCAAAATAGTTCAGCAATGAAGTAGAAAAATAGCTCTTGTGAAGTTTTTAATGGGGGATATCACCGCCCTTAAAAACAATGCAACTCTCATAGTGCTTAAGGGGACTTTCACAAAATCTATGTCCAACAAAAAATCCCACTGTATTCAGGTAACCTTATCTAGACAGTTCTTTTACTCTGAGAGGCTTCTAGAAGGGGGTTGCGAGCTGCAAATGCGTATCTCAGACATGATCAATCAGATTCAGGTCTCGAGATCTGGGTGGCTACTGCCATGCGGGAATATTTTCGGCTTCATGGTATTTCTTGTCCTACTCCAAGTTTGAAAATGCGTGTTGTCATTCATAAAAAATGAGATAGAGAAATACAGTACCACTGAAAAATCTTATAGAGGTCTCAAAAATGTTAGACTTCAGAACTCGAAGAAGACATGTTGCCTTCTTGACTCTCCAGCTCAGAGGAAAGCCCGTCTAAATTGGTGCACTCAACATGACAGACATAGCTTCTTCCCTGATGAGCCCCAATGAAGTCTGAACTCGAGGGGTTCTCATATGGAGTGTACCAGGCTCACAGTACACTTTGCAATATCTGATTGGCTTTATGGTCAGGGTCAATTTGATGTTAGACGGCCCCCGCAGGAATACACGTCCTTCATGAAGACATTCTGACTCATATGAGATATTGGTTTGATATTTTAGATCCCCTTAATTTTTTTTGGAGGCACCGCTGATTTCATGTTCATTTTTGCGGTAGAAAATAGGCAGTCACATAGGGCAGAACTGGAGAGTGGATTGTAGATGCCAGCAAGTTTCCTGACCTGGATATCATGGATATTGAAAGTAATTCTCTTGGCCGAGTATTTGTAACTTATCATCGTTTCTCAGAAGCCTCTCATTACTAAAAACTTTCTTACTAGAGCCATTGTAATTGAGGGGAATTTATTGTTTGATATAATTTTTATAGATAACCTCATAAACAACTTAAGAGCTTATTATGAGTCCAGCATCGCTTTCAAGGATGGTCATACATAACTCACAGTAAACCTACCGCAAGTGTCATTTTACTACATTATTTTTGGTCTTCGATGCTATGATGTTATTAACTCTTGCTCTTCGGTTCATACAGTGAATTTTTGTCATAATATTTTTATCAAAATTTAATGAATATTCATATGAAATTTTATATGATTTATCATCAGAAATGTATTTTTTACTTAGCAAGTGCCCGCCAGTGTAGAACAGAAAAAACTATAAACCTAATATGGCTGCTACGTTAAAAAATATTGCTAAATGCATTACTAGGATGTAATTTCTTACAGGGATTAAATTAGTGTTTTGGACTAAAATAATTAATAACGAAAATAATATTTTCGGATCCTTACGTTTGTTTCTTGTAAATGTTCTGCAACTTCTTGATATGCCTTTTCCTGTATGCTTTCGTTGATAGCCAGCATGTATATGACGGTGGACAGCATCGAAGTTGTTGTGTCATGTGCAGCTAAAAGGAAAGTGACACACTGGGAGACCAGTTCTTCATGTGTAAGATCTAAAAATAAGCAAATTAATTTACAAAAACAAATAAAGATTCTTATGAAAATAAACAATGCCTTTGAAATGTGTTCGGATGTTTTAAATTCCCTGCTATTTTTGCTAGGTTCCATACGTTTTTTTTTGGTGCTGATTCTTGAGAATTTTTACCAGAAGTGGTAGCGTTAGTCAAATGGTAATATAGTTTCTTTACTTTCATAGCAATTAAGATACCTATGTCTAAAATCGGTCACCATTTTCCCGAAACATCTATTTTTGAGAAATCAACAGCTACTAAATTCAGTGATAATCTGTAGCAGAAAAACAGAGTACGTTTCTGCATTCAGAAGTTTTGACATCCAGTACGTTTCCAGGAAAAAATCTTTGAGAATTCTTAAAACAACACTGACACTAAATTTATGTTGGGATATCCACGGCTCACTGGCAAACAGATTATCCATCGTCCACATGTGAGAATTACATGTGTTGAAAATATCTTATCGCATAAACATGTCAGTAAATGAAACAGTAGTTGGAAATTGAGGATTAAAATACGTTCTTCCTCCGTTAGAGGTTGTATCTTTTGTAAGTGGAGTACATCTTTTCAGTATACGGAACATTCCAGACTGACCTAAGTGGAACATGGAGTTCAGCACAATGTGGATCGGCTGATCACCCAACCGGAACATCTGTTCCTGCTTCCCCCAGCCCAAGTTAAAGAAAGCTGAAATGGTCAGAGCAGATCTTAGCCCTCTATTAGCTCTCGTATCACTAAGTGTTTATTTTTTAAAATTTAGTCTGTATTTAAAACTATCATCTCTGCCTTTGGAAACTATCATACCTTGAGGAAAACTAAGCTTTTTTCCGTAGGAGGGTTCCCAGACCCCAATTTGGAAGCCCTTGGTTTCAATAATAGAGATGATTACTTAAATGTACAATTTATATAGAATTTCAGTATTCGGATAAAATATTGTAAGAATTTGAGTCTAACTTTTTTTCTTTAGCAACTCAAATTACTTTTCACCTTTTCATCCTTTATAAAGTCGTACAAGCTGACGTCACTTCACCTACTTATTCACTGGATATCATCTTACTCACTGGATATCAATTATCGATGATCAATCGGGTACAAATGCAACTAATAAGAATTACGTTTTTAAAGGGATAGGAATATGAATCGGACAATAGGAAATGAGTAAACACCTGGTTGCCATTCAGAACGACAAAAATACGATAACTGATTGATTTATTCCTCTCAAATGATATAGCTCAGCTTCTAACTTTAACATCTCTATTCCGAAGCATTATTTGTGATGAAAAATTTTTTAGAGGGTTTTCATACTCTTTTGGGACACATCAGGGTAAATATTTTGCCCAGAAATATCTTCTCCGTCGTTGGCATTAATATCATCCTCGTTTTCAACAGATTCCTTTTTATTGCCAATGGTTGATTTCTTCTCAATATCCAAGAGCAGTTGGAGAAAGTCGTCTCTAGTCTAGAATGTATAAAGAGAATTCAATATTATTTATATTTAAAGAAGTTTAATTTTCGGCAAAGTAAATGAACTGAGGTCCTTTTTATTTTATTACATTTAAAAGAAAGAAACCCTTCATATCAACTATAACTAGCTGCAGCTAGGGAGATACCCTTCATATCAAATTCTCTTTCAACTACATCATTTACTTAAAAATATGAGTTCAGATAAACCAAGAATACACAATAAAGTTTATTAAATGAATATATCATTTAAAAAACCATTTTGCAAACAAATTATAACCGGATTATGTCTTCATAACAGCAGCTGATTTTGCCATACTTTGTTTGTTGTTGAATATTTTATAAAAAGAAAATGCAGCCTCTGAAACTCTATAGTTTACTCTTTATATATTTAATGAACTGATTCTTTACTCTGCATTAAATTTTAAATAACTAATGTTGAAAGAGAATTCGCAATGTGGGATTTCTCCCGAACTATAGTATTCTTTCAACAAGGGAGAAAGTTTTTTCTTATGTTACAATAGGACCTGGGCCAGGTATGGACATCACCTTTCAGAAATGAATAAACTAATGTTGCTACATTAAAGCAGTCGGCTTACATTACTCATAAAACACAGAGTTATAGAGTAAATTTTTTTTATTTCGAATGCACCATCTACGGTAGCAATTGCTTAGGTGTTGTCTGAAATTCTTTTTTAATCTAAATTTATAATAAAAAGGATTTGATTAAATTTATAATAAAAGGATTAGGACATTAGACTAATAAATAAAAGGATTATTAGTCTAAGAGGAGGTGTTTTGACTCGGCGGTCAAATAAGATCCCGTCCGAACTTGTCCACAATATCAAGTTGGATGAAGGGTAGTAAGCGTATGTACTTTTCAAAGTCAAGTCCCGATTCAATCTGAACTACTATCATCAATGTAGCATTTTCACGTATGAAAAGAATTAAGGAACTGGTACTGCAATACACCATGGAAGCTGCCAGCAATGGGAGTCGGTTTATAGTGGCCAGATGAGGTATTGAGGTATGACGAGGTATTACGGTGTATCGTGTCATGATGTTGAATGGAGAATTTCTTGAAGGGGAATATATTTGAACAAGTAAATCCTTACTCTTAAAGGGATTTTTCACAAGCAGTGAGAATAGTTCCTATGCAAAATTATAATAAAAGGATACCTTTCGAAGATACTTTTGGTTCCCAGTTAATTTTTGCGTTCATACAAAGGCTTCGAAGGCTTCTTTAAAACCGAAGATAATTAGCGAATGACATGACCAGTTAGATCTCCGCACCTGAATTCCATATAAAAAATTAGAATGCTTTAAGCAGAGCAATTACAATTCGACAATCTGAAAAAAATTATGAGAGTTTGTATCAATGCAGGAGGAGAAGGGGATAACAAGAATTTTTTCGTCACACATTTTGAATAAAAAAAAAAAAACATTTAAAATCAACAGATCAAATGTTTTGATGTCTTCATCTTAACCTATTAAAAAAAAAGATGAAAAGGATTGTTTCTGCCAATACTCTTTCTTTTATTTTAAAAAATTTATTATTAAAAATTAATTTTTTCAATAATTTATTATTTTTTTAATAATTTATTATAAAGAATGCTTTTGATTTTAAGAATTTAGCTTTTTGTATTATTTTTTTCTTTTGTTTATAAACCTTAATCATATGTCATACAAAATAATTACACATAAGAACGTCATTGAAACATATAGGGAAAGATGAAAAATAATATTTGAAATAGGATGTTTAACATAGTGCTTTGTAGCTGTGCAGCAAGTACGTGTGTTTATCTAATATAGCGTGACATATAACAAGTGATGTAAAGGATATATTAGAGAGTGGTACTTTGTGGAAACGGGGGAATTCAAAAATTGAAAAAAAAAATTATAGACTGTAGAGTAGGTCGATTTTTTTTTTTTAAAGCTTTGGATGCTTTTTTGCGGGAAAGTTGCATATTGTGAAAGAATAAAAATGGCTTAGAAATTTTAAGATTGGAAAATATCTTCTGTTCGCACATTGAACATAAAATAAATAAAACTTTTTAAATAAACACACTTTAGCCACTTTTTATCTGTTCGTTCATTCTGATTGACCGAAACAACAACACCAGTTGCACCATAAAGTTTCACATATGCTCTATCCAAACAACCATCCAATTTTCCATCATGGCAATTACATTATGTTTACAGATATCTGAAAAGATATCTAATCTTTGTCTAAGGATTCTTTGTCTTACTTTGTTAAAGGATTATTTATCTTACTATATTGTTAAGGTATCTTTTGTGTATCTATTACGCTTTTAAAGTCTGAATTTTTTTGATATAGTGTCAGAATTGATGATTAACTTAATACCATTTCCTTCTAAGTCTTGTAGTTCTTGTGCAGGAAATACCTGCTCTAGCACTGCCAGACACAAAAATTCGAATTAATAATTTCGTAGTCGAAAATTTATGTTTGATAATTCGAAATTTCTACCTGTCTTTTCTTAGGGGAGGGTTTGTCTTGCTTTTAAAATCTTTCAAACTTGCAGAAATTGAATTAACGCTTATGAACGGATTGCTGTTTTTGATCAGATCAATTCGACAGGGCAATTGTTTTTTAGAGACTCAGACTATTATTTTATGCATCCATACCTAACTTGGATTCTTACACTAATTTATTAACTCTATTATTCTACTATTGACTATCATCAAAGACAAAATTAAACAAGAATGAGACTCAATAAATTATATCTATAAGAAAGTGGTTCATCCAAATCATATTGTATCTGGGTTTAGATCTGTAAATCTTCTGATTTATTATATTTCATTTGCTGTTCAGCATGCTACAAATCACTGTGGATAGTAATATCTTAGCGATGAGACTAGTATTGATTATTTATTATTTTATTCCTTTTCCCTGCCTTTTAGGATTTGTTTTATTAACCAACCAATTATGTTAGTTTAAACGAAGTTAACTATAAATCGCCGGAGATGTGAGTAATCCATATAAATTTCCAGTGACGGGACAATTTTATAGATTAAAAGTCCTCGAGGGAAAATAAAATTTTTACGAAGGAAAAGGAATTTTTTAAATTAGTTCTCTTATTTAAAAACAGTGTCAGGTGTATATGGAGAGGAAATTTTGATATAAAACTGTTTGCTTATTGTGTTAATGCATTAACAAGGTATTAGTGCAGCTTGTAGCTGAATTATTTTCTTAAATTTTTATTTGAGAAAAGGCAAACCCCGAATGCCCTACATTGCGGGGTGGGGGTTGGATAAGTAAATAACTCCTTGCATGCAGCTTTAGATCTCTGCTGATAATAGTTAGTCGTCTGGAATGAGACAAAGAAACAGGATACTGATTTACCATATCTTCTGGACAATTTTCCAAGGCTATTGCTTTTAAAATGTCCAGCAGATATCTTAGTTGACAGGAATTTGTTGGGCAAAGAACAAATTTTATTCTACTATAGAGATTTTTAAAGCTTCGGATTAATTTAAAATCATTAATCGGAATTCGTGCGTGATATACCCTTCCCAATAATATAAGACTAAAGAAAATATTAAATCTCCCATCAATTCTGAAACTATATACATAATGCACAAAACAATGAAAATTTCCTGCCACTTCCAGAAAGTAAAGGTGTATCTAAACTTGTGACAGAGACTTCGTATGAAATCAATGCACATGAAGCTAGTGATGGATATATTCGAGAAACACTGAAATCTAATTCAGTTATGTCTCATTTATCCAGTAGTAAACACAATAAAAGAAACTTTATATCGCAGTAATACAAAACTTTCTATTCCATAGGAAAGCTTTATAAATAGCTGCAAATACCGAAACAATAAAGTGGGTGGTTAGTTTGGTGAGATGTAGTTGGAACTCGACGTGGAACAGCCTCTAAGTCGAGTGTTATGGATTGTTCTTTCTAAAAAAACGAGTGAAGTGAAAATTACTTAAAATTGACGAACTTTGATTTTTCTAAGGCGTTACGTGGACGTAAATTTAAATTATTAATAAGAATTCAATTATTTTGGTTATACAAACCACCTACCAAGCACCAAAAATTAATCGTATTCATTTCAAATGTTTTAGCAACCTTAATTTTTTTTTTATAAATGCATGATTTTCTCAATCCCAAATAAATTTTTAGTGCGATGTGGGAATGAAAGAAACTGACTGATTGTAAATGTTTATGTCGTTGTTAATTTTCTTAGATTCGAAGTAAATTTTATCGCGATAAATAGTTACGAAACTGAAAAAAGTTATATTTTTCGGCCCACTCTAATGGTCAAAATTTCAATTAAAACATTGTAAAATTATAAAATATTAGTTTTCGTTTCTCTCCCTAAGGCACGTGAAAAATAGTATGTTAAAAATGCATTTATGAGACAGAAACAGTATCAATAAAAAATTAATCTAACTTGTTTAGTTCTTTTTCTTTCAGATATTATTTCTTTTATGAAGTCGATGAAAAATTGCTGAGCAGATTCATTAACAGCAGATGTCTTGAAAATATTTTTAAGATGCTTCCAGGAAGTAAAAAGCACTTAAAAAATAAAATAAACCAAAGATTAAATGAATTATATACATCTTCATAAAAAAATGAAAGATTTTAGTTATTTGAAACTTACACATTAGGCACAATTTGGATTTATGCATAATTCCAAAATTCTTGTTATATTGTTGAACAAATTCATTTTTTGGATCATTGAGGGAATCGATCTTCGTAGAAAAAGCAGAACTTGCTATCACGTCCAACATGAAAGCATTAAAAAACCTTTAAAAATGATTAAAATCAGAAACAAACATATTTGTAAACTTTAATAATAATATATATATATATAAACAAATAAACTAATTACTTGGAATTCAGATGTTTCTAGGAGCATCTATTTAAATACCACTTTTAATGAAATGAACAGAATTAAAAGAATATGTAGTAATATTTATTTGTCCAATAAACAGATCGATAAACTCTTTCAAAATTTGATAAAAAACAATGGATACCCAACTAAAGTAATAAAATTTTATATAAAATCATTGAATTAATCGTATATTTTTGCGGATATATTTACTAAACATTTTCTTTGTTAATTTATATATTTTTCCCATGTGCAAATCCATTTCGGCCAAATCCGTGGTCAAAATTATTTACTGAAAAATTCCTTTACTAAAAATTTTCCTTTGTTAATTTATATAATTTTTCCATGTGCAATTCCATTTCGGGCCAATCCGTGGCTAAAATTATCTACTAAAAATTTTTTCCTTTGTTAATTTTTATAATCTTTCCACGTGTAAATCCATTTCGGATAAATCCGTGGGCAAAATTATTTACTAAAAATTTCTTTATTAATTTTTCCATGTGCAAATCCATTTCGGACAAATCCGTGTTAAAATTATCTACTAAAATTTCTTTTCTTCGATAATTTACATAATTTTTCCACGTAAAAATCCATTTCGGGCAAATCCGTGGCTAAAATTATTTGCAAAACAGGCAATTTATGTTTATCTCTTCTATTTTATATTTTTTCTTAAATAAATATTTATTTTTTAAAATTATTTATGGTCAACATTTTTAAATTATCCAGTATATTATTACCTTGCGCACATCCATTTCGGGCCCATCCTTGGTAACTAACAAATCAAAACTCAGAATAACAAATCA